CTCTGGCAGCTCTCTCGGCCTCCTGCTTCTCCTTGGTAGCCTGGCTGCTGGGCCGGAGCAAGCCAAGGTTGCCAGAGAACATCTGGCCGGCCACGCGCTCAATGACGGCCACAATATGGCCAGCGTAGAGAGGCTTGGCCTCGTCGTTGATTTCCTCCTCCTCTACAAGAAGCAGACTTTGGCCCTCAACTTCAACGTCGTCATTCTTCTTCTGGGTCGGGCGCTGGCGCAAACTGCCCCGACGGCGGATGCCACCCTCTTGCTGAGAGCTGTCATCGTTGTTACCGGATGACTGAGTCTGTCCGTTGGTTGATCCAGAACGGGTATCAGTTATATCCTTGCGCTTCTTCTTCTCTTCCTTCTCGCGCTTTTGCGACCAAACCTCGTCGACATCGAGCAGCTCGACGGCAACCAGGTCGCCCTCGAGGGCACGGTTGCGATCCTTGCTGCCGCAGATGAAGATATCAGCGTCGAGCAAGCCGTCCTGAGTGGAAACGTAGGCGTCGCTGCGGTTCTTCTTGTTCACGCGAAGAATGCCAGAAACGAGCTGGCCATCGCCGAGAAGAGCCGGAAGAGTAGCCTGAGGGAGGTAGGGAGTGAAAAGGGTCTTTCGCTGCTGCTGTTGCTGCTGGTTTCCACCAAGCTGGCCTGCATGCTGACTGCCCTGGAGACCAACAAATTGCTGACCGTTCATCTGTGCAGCCTGCAGAGCCTGCAGCTGCTGAATCTGCATGGGGTTAAGCTGCTGACCAGGGTACATGCCCATGGGAATCATCGAGCCGGGCATCTGCATCAGCTGGGGCTGACCAGGGTACTGGAACGCTCCAATGTTGGAGATGGACTGGTTGATAGAACCACGAGTGCGGTGGCCCGGCTGGAAGGCACCTTGTTCCTGGGCCTGGTTACCGCCCTGGTTGCGCCAGTTGCCGTCGAAGTTGCGAGAGCCGGTTCTGGCATGGCCGCCGCCAGTCGAGTTGCCTCGGCGACCGAAATCGTTTTGGTTGGAGTCGCCAGAGAAGCCGCCGCGGCCTGCGCCGCCACCACCACGACCGTTAACAGCCATGCTCTGGCTGCGGCCATGTCCTCCGCGTCCACGACCAGCGCTGGTACCCTGAGCAATCGGTGCCTCGGTTTGGGCTGGGGCTGGCGCGGGGGCGGGGGCAGAAGCGCCACCATCAGCACCGGCCTCGTTGGAAGGGCCTGACATGGGGAATTGGAAGCCCGATGTTGTGCGCTTCTGCTGTGCAATCTCTGCCGCCTTCTTCGCGTCAGCAAGCGCCAACGAGTGGCGTCGCTGGTGGCCACCTCCGGCACCACCGCCGCGACCACCACGACCACCGGCGTTTTCCCTGCCAGGAGCAGCGCCGGCGGCATCGTTGGTGAAGGCCTGACCGGAAGCGCCTGAGGAGGGAGCAGGAGGCGGGCCCAGTCCCATGTTGGGAAGCGCCGACTGATTACGGCGATGTGACATTGGCTGGGTAGGAGGACCTCCCATGGAGACGTTCTGCTGCGGAAGCTGTTGGGGGAACTGGAAGGCGCCCTGCGGCGCCATGCCCGGCTGCAGGGGATTGAAGGCACCACCTGGGCCGAGCTGTTGCGTAGGGGGCATCATTCCCATGTTCATGTATTGTTGCTGAGTAGCTTGGATCTGTTGCTGCTGTTGCTGCAACAGCTCAATTTGCTGCTGGATAGCTAGCTGTTCCACTGCGGAGAGGACACCTAATTAGCATCATTATCGGTCTCGGAGAATGATGTAACGAGCAGCGAGGGGCAGCAGGCAGCAGAAGGGAGCTCAAGAAAGGGTGGGAAGTGCGGGAAAGGGGTGTGTGTTCTGGAGTCGACTTACTGCCCGGGTTGGCAAACATGCTCATCAACGGAGTCAGCTCGGAGGGGCTTCTCCTGTGAGCAATGTGAAGCCGGCGGCCGGTTGGGCCTGGGACGCCGCTCGCAGGCTGCTGCGATTGCTGCGGCTGCTGCGGCTGTTGTTGTTGCTGCTGCTGCTCCATGGCGGGCAGTCAAGCATATGAAGAATTGGCTCCTTTTTGATTGTATTGCACGTCAAGTGCTTCGGTTATTGATGGAGGAGGGATGGGCAGGATTGGCAGCGTTGGATAGCAGGTGGTTCGGCGTAGGCGTCGATAAGCTTTGTGGGATGATGTGGCACGTATTGACGTATGCCGTTACGGACTAATGACAGTGGAGAACTGGGATGTAGTTTTGGCTATTGGTCTTTTTGATTTTGTGGACGTCGCTGGTTTCAAGGAAGGTAGATGTTTTGGGTGTCTGATTGATCGAAGAGGGATTGGATTCGGATGTGATAGGTGAGGGAGAGAGGATAGTGGTTTGTCGGCGAGACGAGCGAGGTGAAAGGGAAAGGAGCTCGCAAAGAGTGTGCGAAGTGATGGTTGAGGTGGGGAAAAAACGGATGAGGCAGACACGACGTGAAGAGAAGACGAGGCAGGATGGGAATGTCCTCTCTGGGAGAAAGTGACGGGGGGGTGGAGTGAGGAGAGGAGAGGAGAGGAGCGAGCGAGTGGAAGGATCAAGAGGAGGAGCTGGGACAGCACAGCAGCAATCAATGGGGGGGAGGGACGCACCGAGTACGGGGGACACGCTGTTGGGGCTGGAACTAGAACTGGGGTCTTTGTGTAAGGCGAGGTACCTGTTGCGCTAGTGAGCAAACATGTGTGTAGCAATGGCACAGGGGCCTGTAGGGGGAGCAAAGTCTCTTACGGAGGTACATAGATAGGTAGGTAGGTACGGCAACACGTAGTGAGTGATGCTGGGGGGGTATCACGGATACTACCCAGCTACGGTGAGGACCTGAGCACGCCCGTTTCTCGTGCTTGTGCACTTGTTTCTTACCTACGTACGGATACAGATACGCAAAAAGACGATCAATTAACCGGCTTACGTCAGGCTGGCCTGGGACAGAACAGTCGGTTATTAGCCTCCCTGATATCCATGGCCGACCAGACTATAACGATGCAGGCCGGCCGATAGCCCCAAGCTACCTAGGTACATCATGGCGGCACCCCCAAAGGCAAGGCACTCTACGGAAAGCATACTAGTGCAAGCAAGGAGTTAATTACCTGTCGTCGCCCCCCCCCCCCCCCCCCCCCCTCATGGACCAGTCTGAGCGCCCTACTTAGGGTTGAGGTCAAGACTCAGTCAGATGTCTCCGTACAAGTTGTACAAGAATGGGGGAGAACCCACGCCGCTCGCGCTCGCCAGAGACATACTATGTAGAACCAGGTCAGGGCTCCCGGGTTCGAGAAAAGGTAACGCGCTGCTAGGTAGGTACGGATAGGCAGAACAGTGATAGCCCCTTGGATACTTGGCTGATCAGTGCCTTGCCGTAGCGTACGACCCTGATCTTTCCCTGCCGGTTAGCTCACACAAGCCAACCCATCCGTCCCAGACATCTTACGTAGGTGACAGGAACATGCCGAGGGGGAGACTTGGAACGTCTGCCAAGTTCAATCACCTAATACCAGCTGGGCACCTCGCCTTCTGTCCACGGGATCGACAGAGATGGCGAGCGGCGGCTATTACTTGCTAGGTCCGTTGGAATTGAGAGGATTTGTGCCAGATGCAGGGTTCATATCAAGGGGAGGCCAGATGCACTACACTAAGATACACCAGCGTTTCCAGATGGATACCACCCCGCTGGACGTCGACAGAGCCCCAAACACTCCTGTACGAATACGTATGTACAGCGTAGCAATGTACGATGTCATTGTACTATGCAGGCTTGCAAAGCTCGCTGCTATGCAGTGCGGTACAGTACACTCCCCGAAGCTCTAGCACGCAGTTATCCGGAGTTGTGATTGACGGCCCCGTGCATCAGTGCATCGGTGGAGTCCACTACGTACCTCCCTGACAGTATGTACGTACTCGTACTCACTCCTCCTCGATGCCACCACGCTCAATCTCTCCCGGTCCAAGGCTTTGAAGATCTTCGCCGTCATGCCCAACTCTCCGACACTTCATCCGGTCTGCCAGTCTATCATTGTATCAATGTGTCGGGTTCGCATGTCAGAGCCTAAACTCAACAAGAAGAAGAAAAGCAAGAAGGCAAGAAGAGGAAAGTAAAGGCGAGACAGACGTGGCAGGCTAGGTTCAAACTTCAGTCGGTTCCTCAGTTGGAAACTTGGGCCGGCCCCCGACCCCACTCCCACACTCCTTACTGCGTAATCAGCCAGGGGCCCATACGACCGACGCCTTTGACCGCCCGGCAGTAAACTTTCGCGGAGCCAGATCCACCCGCGGTCCGACCAGCCAGCGGAGACGCTAGTCTGGAAACGGCCGACTTCCTGCCTGGCCATTCGCCCAATCGGCTTCGTTTATATCCACCTATGCTGCAACCATGGCGACGTCCCTCATCCTCTCTTTTCGGTTTGGCTCTGTGTCTGCTGCGTCTCTGGTCTTTCCGCCCCATGGAGCCATTTGGAGCTGCGAGCAGCAAGAAGCAGCAAGCAAAAGGCAGCAGCAACACGGGTCTAAACCAGGGTAGCAGTGCTGCAGGGGTCATCGTTTTCCAAAGGAAACCCCCCAATTCATTACCCAACGAGTCCCGGCTTGCCGCGAATGGTAACATTATCCCACATCGAAGCGTGCCTGATACATCGTACTACTATTATTATTTTTCCTTGCTCCACACCAACTCGCGCCCAACCCGACCTTGACAGTCAGTTGACGGCACGCACACACACGCACGCACACACACACACGCACACACACACACCCAACCCAAACGGTCCAAGGGGTGAGAAGCCTCAGCCTCGTCTGGACTCCAGTCATTACCCGAGCCTTGTCTCCCGAGCCTGACGCCCCGGACGTCACTCTTCATTCGGGCTTTTGGCCTCATCCTTCGGTAGCCGGTTCAATCTTGCGTTCCGCGCTGGACCCCACTGCCCCATGCCGTAGGGCCCGGCCACCACTCCTAACACCACCATCGCCGTTCCGACTCACAGCTACCTGTGTGCGTGCGACCGACCATGCCGCACTCGTCTCCCTCGCGGAGGAGCCAACAGAATGGCCATATCAAATCAAGTCCCGAACGAGCCTACGTCCCAGACTTCCTCTCCGAGAACCGTAACTCGGAGTTAAGCCATCGCGATGCCCTTGCTGCGGCCCAGCTCGAGCACGAGCGCGTTCGACTTGCTGCATTGAGAGTCTATGAGGTGCATCAACTGCAGGAAGAAAAGCAAAGGCTGGAAGCCGAGAAAAGGAGGATAGCGCAGCTACAGCGGGAGGAAGAAGAACGGCTCAAGGCCGAGGCAGCAGTGCGCGCCGAGCAGGAGAGGCTGAGGGAACTCAAGGCGAAGCAGATCCCTCAGCTGCCACCCGAGCCCGAACCCGAACCGCCCAAGCCGGAGCCGAAGAAATCGCAAGAACCTCAGGTCATTAGCACGACCGAAAAAGCGGCAGACAAGATCGAGACTGCTGCGCCGGTAGCCTCCAAATCTCAACAGGCTTCTTTGACAAGTACACCGGCGCCAGCTCTTCAGGCTGCAAAGGCGCCCCCCTCGGCACCCTCGCCGCCACCTGCAAAGGCACCGTCTGTACCAGACGCCCAATCCAATGGATTCTTGACGAAACCTGCAGAGCTTGCGCGGCCCAAAACTGTCGCTCAGTCAGTCGCGCCAGCGCCCGCCGCTCAACTGACGGCCGATCGATACATCGAGATACACCAAGCTCTCAAGAAATTGAGAAAAGATGTCGAAGCTCTGTCCAAACAGCCCGGGTCTCCGTTGAAGGGCAAGCTGGGAGATATGCGCAGGCAGATTAGGAAGTCCATCGGTCAACTGACAGCTGGCAAAGGTGCAAACGTTACTCCTGTAAGCCATTTGCTGAACATTTCGCCGTGAAGACACTAACGGTATCGCTAGATCAACACTATCAACGGTGCTCTGCGCGAGTCTCTTGACGGCAGAGTACCCTCGCCTCTTGTCGATGCAAACACCTACGTCCAACAGAACAGGGAGCCAGTTGAAGGTGCCGTTAATAACGGACCGCAGCTACCAGCCCTGTTTATTTACCTCCTCAACATCCTCGCGAAAGCAATCATTCAGCAATTTGCCAATGAGGGCGGCGCGAATCCCAGGTCCGCGGAGCCAGTCGGCATCGTGACGGCCCAGATCTTCTCCAACAAGGACTACCAGTGGCGTGGCGCCTCCATGATCGACATTCTCATCGCCAAGTTCCGCGTGGCTTGCCCCGTTTTGTTCGGGTCTAGGGGGAGCGATAAGACGGAAAATGGACGCAAGGCCATCGGCTGGAAGAAGGAGGACGGCAACTGGGTTCCCGAGCAGGCACACAACGATAGAATGACGGGTCTCGGCGCCGGTTTTGCGGCCATTGCACTGCGAGACTTTAGCAAGGCGTCCAAGACGAACCCTTATCCTCCCACCAACTACTGGAAGGCTATGGCGCAGATTATCAACTCGCCGCCGCAGCTGGTCTCCAATACCCAGTACATTGTGCTAAAGTCGATGATAGACGGCCACGAGCAGCGTTTCATCAACTTCTACGGCAATGCAGCCATCGCTGCCCTTCGCATGGCCCTGGTCGAGTTTCCTAAGAGGGCCCCGCCGGGCGCTACCGCGGCTCAGGCGCTGCAGGTCCTAGCTGACGTTCTGAGGCGAGACTCCGGGCTAGAGGTAGCATAGAGGCCACGGTATCAGTTAGAGAAGGAAGAAGAACACATCGATATACAAAACAGGAGGAGAGCCGGCCTGTGCTATCGGAATGGCGGGCACACACATCTGGCGTTTCTGGAGAACCAAACATGGGCGCATATACACAAAAGAACGGCAAGGATTGAACTTTCAAGGGCGAGAGGCCTGGGTCTGGTTCGGTTCACACACGGGCCAGGGTCTATTGTAGGGGGAGACGATATTCCTCGAGAACAGTTAGAATCGCGTGTCGTTAGTTGGATGGACAATCTACCATATCCTAAACTAAAAACCTCCCAGGCAGTGAACAATGTACCGGGGAGGAGGAAAATCATTTTGTTTACCAGACGCTCCATGAAACTCCCAAACCCCATTCCTTTACGGTTCGCAATGGCTACACCCCTTTCTCCCTTCCCTTTCCCCCCTTCCATGCTTCGGCTATTCCATGGGCCCACGCCTTACAGCATCAGCAGCAGCACTAGCAGCACGATAAGGACGAATATAAGCACAGCGATGCAGCAGCTGCTCAGGCGGTCCTCATTGCGGCGCATGACGTACTGCAGCTTCTGCACGCCCGTCTGCAGGCGGCCGCCAACGCGGTCGGCGACGCTGTCGACGACCTCGAGCATCTCGCGCTGCTCCTCGAGCTCGCGGCCCATGTCGTCGGCCTGCCGGCGCAGGTTGCCTACCGTCTGAAACACCCCGTCGAGGTGGGTGTCCTGCTCGCGCATCATCTCGAGCTGCTGTTGCTGCTCGAACTCGGCCGCGTAGTCCTCGCCGCCGCGGTCGTGGTCGTCGTCGCCGTCGGTGATCGAGAAGGAGCTCGGGTCAGGGAGGTCCGAGTTGGCGCCGCGCGCCGCGCCAGACTTGCCCCTCGACGATGAGGAGACGTCGCCGAGCTTCTTAAAGAGCTCCTCGCGCATGTCTTCGACCTCGCCGCCGACATCCTGAACAAGCCGCTTGCGCCGGATGATTTCCTGGGCGGAGAGGCCAAAGGCGGAGGGATCTGACTCGACGGCCTTGACGGACTCGACGAGGTCAGCGAGGTCCTCTGCCAGGGACTCGAGAGCAGATTCGAGGTCGGAACGGGCGGAGGCGAGTTCGGGGGACGTCGGGGACGTGGAGAGGGAACGGATGCGTAGGTACGAGGTGAAGAGGGGCCGGGTCGAGTTCAGCTGGGCTAGGACATCTCTGTCGCGGTTGTCGTCAATGTCACATTCTTTTCAGGATACCCTCTCTTTCGTGGAGGCTACTGAAGGGGGAGGAAGGAAGGGGTGCATACTGTTGGACCTGGAGGAAGGGATCCTCCTCGTTGGCAGAGGACATCATCCTGGTGATGGGGGTACGGAAAGGCGCACCCGTGAACGCATTTGTTTGCGGCAGCAACGCGGACTTGGATGCGTTTGAGCGATTGCGCAGCAGGTGCCTGAAGATCGGGGACTTCGAGATTCGGGTGCGGGATTGGTGAGCTGTCGCCGATATACCTTTTGGGTTAACGCGGCTGGCTGGGATGACGTTTGTGCGTCCCGGCCGTGCTGTAAGCTGTCACTAAAGGCTACCTCCCGTCCATACCCTTGGTGCAGGTCCACTACTGAATGCCACTAGTCGGTATCCGTACTTTCGGGGGATGTACCCTGGGGGCAGGACGACCGGAGTTTCCTCGGCACATGCTCGTGGCTCCAGGCCACCTGGTCTCACCTTGAGTGCTCACCGACAACCCCTGTCAGAAACTCCGGTGTGCCCCTCCTTCACCGAGAAAAACCCCCTCCATCGGTCCTTTTTTTTTTTTTTATGTAAGTGGGATTTTCACTCGAGTCACAACTCCACATTCACTCACTCACCCTTCTGCTCACGGTCAAACAGACTTCTTTACCCGGTTGCCCACTGAGGTTCGTTTTCGACTCTCAGGTGAGAAAATCGGTCTGTAAGTATCTGAGAGCCACCGTGCAAGACCAAGCAAGGGCACAACCACAAAAGCCCAAAGTTGGGGAACAAAAATGATACCAGAAAAGCCCCTCCCGTGCTCCGACGAGTTCGCCTCGCCGGACGCATACGTCGCAGCGCTCCTCGAGTTCGTGACCACCACGGACCTGTTCCAGATTCTCTGCGGCGGCGTCCACGTCCTCGACTTCTTTACAAATGAGTCGGGCCTCTTTGCCCAGATTCTTCCGCAGGAATGGCAGCCTTTTCTGTTGTCCTACGACACCATGGCCCTCCTCGAGCTGCTCATGCGGGACGACCTCGACGCCCTTCCGCTGGACTCGATGAACCCGGCGCCGCCGGAGAGCTTTCTTGAATACATTCGGAACGTGCGCCGCCTCTCCCTGCGCAGAAACTTCTCGCCCTCTTCGCAGGCCCAGACAAAGCCGCCCCCGAAGCTCTCGCGCTCCGTCGCCGTCGGCATGAATCCCAAGAAGGTGCATGAGGTCTCCCACTTTGCGCGCTATGTCGACTCGCTGGCCGGCGCCATCTCGTCCCGCTGGGGCAAGGAGACGACGCACTTTGTAGACTTTGGCAGCGGCCAGAACTACCTCGGCCGCACCCTCGCCCTGCCGCCGTACAACCGCCACGTCGTCGCCGTCGAGGGCCGCGAGCACAACATTGACGGCGCAAAGGGCCTTGACGTCCTCTCCGGTCTAGCGGGCAAGGAGGTCGTCATGCGAAACAAGAAGCTCTGGCTGCAGATGCAGGCCGACCGGCTCGGCACGGAAGCCGTCAAGAACGCCCTCAGCAAGCCCTCGGGCGACGCCGTCGAGGATTTCGACTTCCGCCCCATCAAGGAGCTCCAGCCACAGTACAATCGTGCTCTGGGCAAGGGCTCCGTTTCCTACGTCGTCGGCCGGCTGGAAAGCGGTGACCTGACGGAGGTCATCGGGCGCATCGAGAAGGAAGTGCTCCCGGAGGAGGAGGACAAGGAGCTCAAGATGATGGCCGTGTCGATCCACTCGTGCGGCAACCTCTCGCACTACGGCATCCGCTCGCTCGTAATGAACCCGGCCATACACGCCGTCGCCATCGTCGGCTGCTGCTACAACCTTCTGACGGAGAAGCTTGGCCCGCCGACCTACAAGTACACATATGCTCGACCCAGCTTGCAAGCCCTCAACGGCCGCGTCGTCCGCGAGTCCGAGCGGCGCGACCCGGAGGGCTTCCCGCTCAGCGAGACGCTGTCAAGCTACAAGGGGCAGGGCGTGCGTATGAACATTACGGCGCGCATGATGGCCTGCCAGGCGCCGCAGAACTGGACACAGTCCGAGAGCGACGACTTCTTCACGCGGCACCTGTTCCGCGCGGTCTTGCAAAAGATCTTCCTCGACCGCGGCGTGATCAACAAGGTCTACCACCGCGACCCGGACGCCGCCGCCGCCGCCACCGGAAGCGAGGCGGGCGGCGCCCCCGAGGAGACGCCCTTCAATACGAGTACGAACCCGGTCATCATCGGCTCGCTGCGCAAGGCATGCTACAAGTCGCTCAAAGACTACGTCCGCGGCGCCGTTGCGAAACTGACGACGAACCGTGAGTACAGCCAGTACAGCGACGTCATCCGCGAGAAGATGGCGGACATGTCCGACGAGGAGATCGCTGCGTACGAGCAAGCGTACATGTCCCGCAAGAAGGAGGTCGCTGCCGTGTGGAGCCTGATGGCCTTCAGCGCGACCGTGGTCGAGTCGCTCATCGTCACGGACCGCTGGCTGTTCCTCCGGGAACACGCCGACGTCGTCCGGGACTGCTGGGTGGAGACCGTCTTCGACTACAAGGAGAGCCCAAGGAACATGGTGGTTGTGGGCATCAAGAAGTAGAGGGCCGCCGTGGAGACACGGGCGCCTTCTGTAGCCCGATACGCGTCTCCTTCCTTCTCACCCTGACTCGAGTCCTGCGCGGCGTCGCACGCCGTTCCACCATCCAAGTGTTTCTTGTGTTCCAAGCCACCTACCTTCCTACGGGCGGCAAACTCGCGGAAACAACAGCTGGGTATGGAGGGCCCGAACAAGGCACATGTCACTGATGCTGGCAGACGACCGGGCCCGTCCTGAGTTCTGCATGCAGTTGCATGAGTAGCCGTCGTCGAAACCGGCAATCCGACTCGGCAGGAAAACGGCGTGGCCGTATACGCATGCCCATAGTTCCTGTATCTGCAGCGGCGCCGTGTTCTTCGGTGAAACTAAGTTCCTAGGCCCGCATTCGCGCAAGGGTACAAACAAGACAGCGTACGTCGGTTACTGCGGCAAGCGGACAACACGCGGGATTCACTTGCCCCCGCCCCTCCAAACAACAACAACAAGGCATTGATGTCATGTCATGCAGCGATTTGGGGGTCACGATAGGCCAAATGTTCTCCGTGTCCCTTCCTCCTGCATTTCGGACGACGCAAAGACGGACTGGAGCGCCACGAGAGAGCGCACCGAGGCACCAGCCCCTCTACGTCTATCTTCCGCCGCCGCATCATCCCATGCAGGGATTCCCGACGGCGGGGTAACGAACGCCAAAGCCCTTTGATGGGGCAGCGCTGGCGGTTCAGAGCAAATCAGCATGCGGCGCCCAACGCGTTGAAATTTTTCCAATGTTTTCCCTGCTCTCTCAAGGGTTTAAAGCTAGGCGCCGAGCCATATATGGATAATCATAGCCCAAGATAACGCCAAGGTTCAGGGTTCCTATCTGTGGATCTTTTTTTCCTTGAGACGGGTACGATCTACGGAGTAATCCGCAAAGATAAGTCGAGAAGGGAGCACGGGCGAATGGGGCGGTAGGGTGACACTGGAGAATCGGCCGAGCGGGATATAAAGACATGAAGGGAAAAAAAAAAAAGAAAAAAAAGTTTTCTCACAATGCCCAAGAGAGAGAGAGAGAGAAAGAGGGACCGGGGGGGTAAAAGACTCAATGCCTGAAACCCGATGGTCGAGATTTCGGCGAAGCTCCGGCCGTACAATGGATCACGGCAACATGTGTCTCCAGTCGAGTGGAGGCTCGGTCTTCGTTTCCAAAGTCATTGTCAGCGTTTGTTGTAACATGTTACCCTCGAGAAGCGAACATGCCACGTCGGCGATGCAGACGAAGCAGGATGGGGCAATTGAGCACCAGCTTGGTGTTGATCCAGACGCCTCCCGGATGCTCAGCCCAAATGGGTGTCATCTTCCTTCCACGGATCACCATCTGCGACGTCTGGTCACATAAGAATCATGTCTAATTCGTCAATGTCGTGGCATGTGTCCGTCACTCCCAAGGGGGGAAAATGTGCAATGCTGTCATAAGAGCGCGTGGTGACGATGCCGATGCGCGCGTGCCTGCCAACCCCCCCGGCCCTTCACCTGCACGTAAGCCAGAACCGAGTATTTGGGGCGAGCCAGGTGGTCGAGGTAGACATCTCGTGCTTCCTCAGGAGTCGTGGTCTCTCGTTGGTTGCCGTGACCGAACTCGGGCTTTTCGACGAGTCAGGTTCCCGGCCGCCCAGGTCTATGGGCGCAGCGGTTGGGGGAGGGAGTGACAGGACGCTTATCAGCGGCAATCCGAGGAGGGTATTCGCGTGGGGGATGCCAGAATGTAGCATTGAGCGTGGTTGCTGAAGGGATCCGATCCCAGGATGCAGCTCTGGGATGGGGGTTCTTCTGGGCCAGATGGAGCACCGCACTGCGGGAGGAGAATGGCAACAAGTGGGACGGGGGTGTGGTTGTCATTAGGAGTCAAGAGGGGTTCCCGCCTGTGCTGCCACCGTCTACTTGGGGATATGGCGCCAGCGAATTGAAAATCCCGTGTCAACCCAGCTCGCCCATCCACTGCCCGCTGGCCGGTTTGTCGATAATGGGAAAGCCGGACGACGTAGCTGCCACGGCATCTTGCAGTAGTAGAAAACCCATGTCCTTATTCCCGACAGCTATTGCATGAGGACCGATTGTTGGAGCAAACGGACAGGCAACCGAGCCAGTAGCAAGGTACATTGCCTAGGACGGGATTGTGTTCGGACAAGGTTCAGGAACCGCTGCGATCGGCGGGCCACGGCGTCTAAGGAGGAGAGGAAAGACATGGCCGAGTCTTTGATCTGACGCAATGCCATCCGACGCGGGGGGAGAGGGTTCATAGTAAAGCCGCGATGGCCAGGTCTAGAGCTTTCGACAGTGCAGAGTGAAGCTAGTTTGAAGGAATGTTGGAAACGTCGGGGGGGAGTGATTGAAGTGAGGGGGGCGTTGGTGAGCAAGTGAGTGATGACCATGTGTCAGCAAGATGACATGGTCAACCCCCGTCGTCGAGGGTATTCCGGGCAGAGATTATCTCGTGAGCCCCAAGCCTTTTTTCCAAGCGAGAAGGCATATGGTCAACAATGGGCTTCTCGTCGCCCCCGCGGCACGAGACGCCGCTGACGGCTTTGAACGAATGAAAGCGATGATGCCGAGGCCAGCCGGGATGCAGGACCAGGCGACGCAACTATATGGATGCGACGGCAGATGCCCGTCACTGTTGTTCCCCATTCGCAATGGAAGGTGAGAAGTGAGAAGTGAGAGATGAGGGCAGCATGGTGAGATCAGATGGGGTGAGGCAAGGTGAGGTGTGAGCGTGGTGAGTGGTGATGTTTGAGGTGAAGGAGGGGGCGGCGGAGTGCTTGCCGCTGCACCTTCTGTCAGGTACGCTGACAGCGCCTGTGCGGAATCACTTGAGCCAATCGATGTAGACTCCCACCCCCCGGACGGACTACGTACGGTAGTACCTGTACTTGTGAATAGGTAGGTTGGTAGGTAGGCAAGCAGGCAAGGTACCTACCTACAGGTAGCTAGGTAAGATGACATCGTGTACCTACTTGTGCGACCATGAGATGGACCGGCTTGAAAAGGAAACGTATCCCGTCACGCCTCAACCTACTACTAGCTGCATCTGTAGACCAGTGAACGAGGGGTTCTCTCTCTCCTTCACCAGTGGTTCTGTGTAGTCACCAATTCCAAGAACCCCCCACGTTCCATGTCTCACTAGCGTCCTGCACGCCGCCAGAAACGGCTCACTGGACCCTTTTACCTTGTGTCTGGTCCTCGCCATGCCGCGGTCCCATTTCCCTTTCGGTTTCCCTTGACCAACCTGGCGCGGTACTTGTATCCGACGTCCATGTATGTGGTCCTTTTTGGCTCCGGCGTGAGAGAGAGAGAGAGAGAGAGAGAGAGAGGGCTCGTTTAAGCAAGCCGCTTGCTTGCCTGCCTGCCTGCCTGCCTGCCCGCCTGCCCGACGCCAGCCTTGGAAGACATGGCGACGGGGTGGTGGTCACTTGGTCCGATCAGCCCAGTCCAGGCTTCAGGATGACGGGATTCGGACTAGCATGGCGCCTCCGTCCCAGCATCGTCGATACCTGTTTGACGTGGTGGCCGTGGAAAATAAGGCGCAATATGTGGCCATGTTTGCGAATGATATTGAGGAACCGAGCTTGAGGTTTGGTCAAATTTTGATAGTGGACCCAGAGAGCGGCTCAAACTCTCGCACCTTGACCGGAGCCGTGGACCACAAACCATACTGGATGGATGGAAGGACGGAGGGGAGGGACCCCCCAGTTCCCTGACTCGAGAGCGCCCGTTGCGCCCGCTGCGCCCATTCATTCCGACGTCCTCACGGCCGAAGGTGTCTAGCCACCAAGTAGCCAAAGTATCCGTAGTCAATCAAGGACGGGACTTGATTTCTCGCAGGGTCCAGATCCAGACGCAACACCCGACAAGCACCGGATAACAAAGACACGGGGTCCCAGACGATGCCTAGTGAAACCGCCCTAAAGGCACATCGTTAGCACCCTGTGTCCCTTTGTGTGTCTGGCTGTCTCGATCTTACTCGGCGTCCTGGCAGCGCTGACCACCAGAAATGCAATCATGGGTCACGGAAAGGAAAGAGGCACACACAACACACACAACACACACTTAACACACGCACGCGCACGCATACGCCACCACATAATACCTCGTAACCAGCCCCCTTGCTCAACCCCGCCATGTCATGCCGCCTTAGTTGCGCCCACACCTTGTCCCCTGAAGACCCAACCATGTTGTATGTCAAAGTTGTACTTCTCACTCTGGCGATGGTCATCCGCCGGCGAGAGGAATCACCGGCGTCATCGAGACAAACCATTCCAGCTCGCCGTACGCTACCCGGTGCGAGACTGACTATTACCCGCCTCCCCCCCCCCTATCCTAAGCAAAACAAGGTAAAGTTTGTTTCTACAGTACTTTGCAATTGTAACCATACGCGGGGGCATCGTCACTTTGGGGGCAGTGGCATATTGACCGAAGCGAGACAACGAAAAAAAAAAAAAAAAAAAAAAAACCTGCTGCGTCCTCTCCTCCTCGGTCGCCCGCCGTCTCCACAAACAATCCCTCCGTGCATCGTCGCGGAACCGTCGATCGATCACGCACGGGATGCCAACATCTCTCAAGACGGCAGATAGCGCACATGAGGAAACACAACCACTAAGCAGAATCAGAATGGGGGGCGGGCAAGGTGAATCTCGGCGAAAAACGTTGACGCAAGAGAGGGGGGGCCCCACAAGCCCTCTCTCTCTCTCGCTTTCTCTTTCTCGCTGGCTGGCTGTCTGTCTGTCTGTCTGTCTCTACCTACCCGCTCCGGACCAACGCTACTGTGACATTGTGGAGAAGCAGCGGCAATCACCCTATCTGCAACCACCAGGCCGCATTATCGCAGGCTAGAGAGCCATGTAAAACCACGTTTTGCTATTTCGTATTCTCAGACCCGTAGCGCGCTGGTCTTCTTCAGCTTCCCTGGCCTGGCCTGGCCTGGCCCGCCCCCGGCAACTCGACGCACGGTTGTGCTCCAGTGTGCCTCTCGAGACGGCCGCGGGAAGCACACCACCACTGACTGCTACTACCACTACCACCACACTCACCTCTGCCTATCTCCTCTCCGTGTATCCGTATGTACGCGTGTTATGGGTTGAATCCCAATCTAGGTCTCGTCGTTTTTTCCCCCCACTGCATGCCTATCTGCCTCGCCCTGCCTTGCCTTGCCTTACCTTGCCCACCTTAGCCTGTCTTCAAGGGTCCCGCCCATATTGAATCTAATTCCTCTTTTCCCTTTCGCTCTGCCATCCCCTCCCCTCCCAGACACACACACACACACACACCCCTCCAATCCGCCTTCTTTTTAACCATCCCCTCATCCCGCCCTTCTTGCCTACTTCTGGTTTTCCTATTCCTCTCCCCGTTCTCCCTACTACTGTCTCTGTTGCGATACCGTCCATACCCCGAGTTGTCCTCATATATCTGGTTTTGTCCATCCAATTTTCCCAAGGTTCCACCCCGCAAACTATATCGGATCTAAAGAAAGCTGTACAACCCAGAGACAACAGACGGAGTGAGATGACACGAACCAACTAGTTGATTCCCCATCAGCCACGGCTATCCAAAGCTTAAACCCCGATTTCTTCTACAAGAAAAAAAAAATAGATCGGGTCTCGTTTGCTAGAAGCACACAGAAAGAAACCCCCTCCCCCCCCCAAAAAACATCGTCAACCACAACCACAACCACAACCAACCAAACGCCTAGTCTCGTGGGGTTCTTGAGACCGAGGCCGGCACCCGGCACAGAGAACAGGCAGCACAACCCCCCTCCGATCTCCGATATCACTCCGACGCAAACCTTCAACGGACGTGCCTGTGCTTTCTTCCCTGCGCATCGAGATCGGATTCTTCTAGAAGATAGGAGCACCAGGCGTAGAACCGCACTCTTCTGGCCTTCAACCGCCAGGAGTCTGCGGGTCACAATGAACGCCCAGGTCTCGTTCCTCGTAAGTTTGGCACCACGCCCCATGTCTCTCATGTCTTCCGGCTGCACGCGTGCGGGAGGAGGAAAAAGAAGGGGGGAATGCGTTCGTTTGTGTCTCTCACAAGAGTCACTCGAAAATGCGGGGCTATTACGGTGCCGCGTTGTCGAGTCGCACCTCCTCGGAGCTAAATGACACCATTGTCTCGCTTGCTACCTTGTAAGACCCTCACTGACACGACGCTGCCCACAGGACGGCAACTACACCCTCATCCACATTCCGCTCGACCTCTACTCGTCACTGCTACAGCCCATCCTCCGAATCCTTCTCCCGCAGACCCAGACCCTCAAGGCGTCAAAGGGCGAGCCGGAACATGAGCTTGAAGGGCTGAACACCGAGGGCCAGCATGGCTTCCTCAACATTAGCGTCACCCCCATGGAGTGCTCCATCGTTTGCCACAGCTCGTGGGCCAAGAACGTCTTCGAGCCCGCCATCAAGGACCTCCCGAAAGACCTCGCCAAGTCCGTGTCCATATCCAAAGACACCTATCTCGTCCTTTCCGTCATCAGCGCCGGCATGGACGCCGCGGGCCGTGTCATGGAGCTGACCTCCCCGCTGGCCTTGGCCGGCATCCCCATCTTCTTCATCACCACCTACTACTCCGACTTCATCCTCGTGCCCAGCAAGGACAGGCAGACCGTCGTCAAGGCCCTGTTGGCCCACGGTTTCGAGCTGGCCGACAACGATTCCAACTTTGTCAGCCCCGCAGCCTCCATTCACTCCCGCGGCTCCAGTCAAAACAGCGGGCCTCCCCTGACGCCCCCACCCTCGACCATCGCCGAGCTCCAAGTCCGCACCTTCGACCTGCTCAAGAAGAGGAGCGTCTCGCCCTATGTTGAGGCTGACTTGCTGCTGGTGCAGTGCTCCGGCCGGGAGACCTCCCAGCTCGGAGGCGAGCTCTCCCACACCCAGCGGCCCTCTCTGAGCCGCCAGGTCACGGGCAACAGCCACCGCCAGACTTGGCTGGACAACATCGACACCAAGCTGTACACCGCCATGATATCCGCCTTGGCGGCGCGGCCCCGCTTCATCTCCATCACCTTGGCCCAGGATGACCCCCCGTCGCTGCTAGTGGACAAGTCGCTACTCGGCCTCTTCGGCGAGTCTCTCGTGGGCGATACCAAGACGAACCTCACCCCAATCTTTTTGGATCTCGAAAGCCTCCCGCTCGAGGCCACCGGTATCGTTTGTGGCGTGGCCGGCACCCTGGTGCAGGACATGCGCACCGGGGACAGCGCAGGCCTTTCCTATCTCTCCACCGCCAGAGCCGGCGCCGTCATCCTTTCCTGCGAACAGTCGATTCGCGCCCTCGAGATCCTCACCCCCAAGCTGTTCAAGGCCTGAGGCCACGTGCATACACCACCATTACAGAAAACTGCATTGCTGATGAGGCGCACCCGCGGAGACAGGCCGCGCTGGGAGGGTGGTGGTGGTGGTCACGAGCTATCCACGTGTGTAGCATTAACCAAGTTGGATGAAGGGACGATTGTGTCAGCGTGAACTGGTCTAGGCGGTCGGCAATTGTGTTTTTTTCTTGAAAGTTTCTCGGGCATGCCGGCGTTTCGGAGGACGGCTCTCTGATGTTAGATACCAACTTTTGTATGTCTTGGGAAGAATGGTCGGATCCGACCCACGGCTCAACTCGTAATGATTGATCTCCGTACCATGGCCCGATCCAGTATCGTATCTGGTGATCCCGACTTTGAGCCGAACCAGTCGATGATATTCTGGCGTTCGTCTCCCGGTACATCGCTGTGAGCGAGGGTGGTGTGGAACCCGTCGTCTGCCTTTCGCTCGAACCACAGCTGGACCAAATAGGCCAGGATAGGCCACTTCATAAAGACAACGACGTTGTTGGGGCCGCTGAATCCGGGGCCGCGCTTAGCGGCGTCGGGATAGACCCGGCGATCGTCAAAGGCCTTCGTGCAGGTGTTGAGCAGGCTTGCCGTCCGGCTACAGTCGGTGAGGACGTCGTTCAGGCTGGCCCAGATGCCTGGAGGCACGCGCTTCTCGTCGAGGTATGTTGCCGGCGTCGGCAAACCCTTGCTGTACCCGATCACGCGGACAACAGCCGCCTACCAGACTGTGCTCTCTAGTAGACCTTTTCAAAGGGATCCTTCAGTCCTGAAAACCTCGAGCTGCGGAAACAATGAATTGAACGCGTCGGCGGCCCAGTCTAGCCCCTTGAGAGAGCCAACATGGTCTACATGCTCGCCCCCCTCGTTTGCTGCGAGAACTGTGCTCGCCAAGAGCCTCCACATCGACTGGTGACGCGGGAGGAACGAGGAAGCCAAGAGAACCTCGTCGGGCTGACGGACGCTGAACCCGAAACGCAGTTCCTTTAGTTTAGAGTGGTCGCAGGCGATCCTTTCTATAAGCCCCTTCGCTTCGGGTAGAGATCCAGAGGCCAGGTTATAGCGCAGCAGCTTGAGTCCTTGTATTAACGTGGTTGTCTCTAGGAGGTGTTCCCTAGCGAGTGGAAATTCAGCCTGGTTGATTGTCTTGTGCTATATGATGATAAGTTCTGTTAGCCTGCTAAGCGGGGACAGACAAAGGAGGTCTTCCGGCTTGGCCTCGCCAGAGGGGAGGTTCAGGTTGAGACTTCGGAGACCAGATGTCGCTTTGACCCACTCCTAGGCACGCCGGCTAACTGGCTAAAGCTCGAGAGTACAGAGTGCTTATAGGGACGGGTTTTCCTGTTTAGAGTGGTGACCTAGGTTGTCGCTATAGACTTTAGATTAGAGTCTTAACTTGACTAGTCTCTCGCACTAGGCAAGCGTCTTTGTTATTTTAGATGGGATCTGCTTGTAACTAGTGCGTCCCTAAGCTAATGAAGCGCTCTTTAAATCCTTCTAGATAGCAGCTTAGGTATTAGTCTTATAATCCTCTAGCTCTTCTACCGCTCTAGGGCTGCTGCATACGAAGTCTATGTTGAGCCTTGTTAGAGCTGTAAATTGCGACAAGACAGTGAGTATCAAGCCGCTCTTGGACTAGGTCTCTGTTGAGCCTAGTCGAAGTCTGCGCAAGATGCTTTAGGAGCGATATCTGATCCCTGCTCTCAACCCTAAGACCCTGTAGTGCGGCTAGGTTTGGGAAGTGGAGCGCTTTGAGCCGGTTAACCATCTATTGCAGTGAATCATGGTGAGGGATTTCTGATCTGAAGTTGACGAGGGTTATGATTGAGTTGGCGTACAACTGCGCGTTGTAAAGTGGCATGTTGGGGGCCGCGATCCGGCACATGTAAGTCTTGTACTACAAGATCTCGCTGCCACACCGGAACCAGAGCTTGTTCGCCTGCACCGCCCGGAGAATCGATGCCCAGCCGAGCTTGCGCAGGATCATTGTCGTGATCTCGGGCGGCAGGAACAAGGAATAGCCCGGGCGGTGATCCCGACTTGAAGCAAAACGGGTTCATCCTTTCTTTTCTTTTTGTGACGAGCCAAGTTTTGGGCTTATGTGTGAACCGGGAAAAAGTTGACCACGTCCAACATCGTCGTCGGCTCCTGCTCTCGGATCCGATGTATGCCGGATAGGGGGGAGTTGAGGGGAGGTAACAGCATTCGCAACTGCGCGACCCGGACGACTGCGCGGGCCTCCTCATTTACCGTGCCCTTTCTTCTTGCCCTGGCCGGCCTCCTCCACCCAGCCGGCCTTGACGAAGGCGTCCCGCGCGGCGCTGTTGATCAGGGCGAAACGGCGCGGGCCCAGCTTCTGGCCGCCGTACCAGCGGGACACCACCACCATGACGTCCCACAGGTCCATGAGCTGCATCAGATGCAGCAGGCGGCTCCCGGCGGCCGTCTCCCCGTCGTCGTCGCAGTCCTGGAAGCTGGTCCCGTTGGGCCCCCGGACGCGCCACGCCGTCATGTTGTGCGTGGCGGCGCGGACCTTCTTGTCCGTGGCGAGGAGGTGCTGGACGTAGCCGGCGGCCTGCGCGGGCGAGGCGACGGGCGCGGCGCGGGCGAGGAACACCGACTTGAGCTCCACGAACGGGTCCGAGACGACCCACGGGGGCTCCTCGGCGAGGGGCGCGGGCCGCGTCCCGTGCTCCTCTTTGCCCTCGTCCTTCTCCGGCGGCGGCGGCGGCGGCGACGGCTCCGCTCCCGCGTGCTCCTCCAGGAGCCTCGAGAACTCCTCGACGGCGTCGAAGAGGCACACGGCGCCGGGCTGGTAGACGTTGGCGACGGCGTCGCGGAAGACGGCGAGGTCGCGGGCGCCAGCACCGCGGGGGGCGTTCTCGCCGGCGCTGTGGGTGCCGAGGACCTCGGGCGGCACGTCCGGGTACGAGTCCGGGAATCGGAGGGTCAGGGAGGTGGCCCCCGGGCCGCCGGGCAGGGCGAGGATGTAGTTGGGCGGCGAGGGCCGGAGCGTGTCGTCTCCGTAGATGGAGTTGAGGGCCTCAATCTCGTCTCTGAGGTCGTCTGACATGGCGACAAGTGAACCGGAAACCGAGGCTCGGATCGGGGGTCGGGAGGAAGTCTTGGGGGTAGGAGGAGCGGCACCAATGGAGGGGTTGTTTGTCAGTGGGTGCTTGTCCGATGACTTCTCTCTCTCTATGAGGACGTAAGCCGTGCTCGCAACTTTTCTCAATATAATAAATAGGTAGAAATCGTATGCGGACCTCGAATTGCGGTACAACCACAGAGGATGGTACTGCCGTGACTCCGACGTTATGAGATTTCTTGAATTTGGTGACGTGAGTGAGTGAGAAGCAATTATCCAATGAACCAGACAGTGAGGTTGTTCCAACTTCCAACCAGCCAGTGGGTGTTGTGTTGTGGGTCGTCGGTGGTCCGAGCTTCCGAGGATCCACCCCGGTCGCTGCTCCTGGGAGGAACGCGGCCTCAACTCCGAGTCACCGCCGAGCTGGTGACGAGTGATATATAGAACGAGACCTACGACTCAGGGCTCCCACGTCATTGCCAACAGTATCAGCAGTAGAAAATATAATCCATACGTATCAAACACTTGGGATTGCGAATGGCTAGTCTCAGTTTTCTCGGGTGTTGAAATCAGATAGCAATGTATAGTGGGCCATTGCTTAGCCCTATGAGCAACTGAAAGGGGTATGTATATATTGCTATCTGGCCTACGTAGATGTAGACGCTTCTTTCAACGCCGTCTAACAGTAAACTTTCTTCGCCATCTAAAATTGACAGCGGCACGAACAGTTAACCATACTGAAGCTGAAGGCCTTACACCGGATCAGCCAATCACAACTTCGGGGAACACCTGCATCCATTCGTTGTGAGCTCTGATCAAGCCGGCCAAACAACATGGCGCGCATCCAAGGGGGACAGCCCGTTCTTGGAGCGCTTCTGTTCTCAAGTCACCCCCCGTATGCTCTGCGTTTACATCATCCTTATTTCAACTGCTACTCACAACTCACACCCTTGCGACCCTGACAAGAAACCGGCCAGACTGGGAAAGAACCATGTTCAAGTCGACGAATGGCTTGGGATGGCGTCCTGGTGCTCTGAACTGGCTCTTACGCAAGTCTCTTCGTTCTGACTCGGCTGTGTCAGCAGAAGCCGTCGAGCCGGTTGAAGCATCGTGGCCCACCATAACGGCTGAACCTTTTAGCACAGTCAAGTCGTCGTAGGCAGTCGAAGTTTTTCGCAAAAACTCCCAAGAGGAGTGTGAAGTGCGAACCTCCCTTTAACAAGCCGTGTCCGACCTGTGAACAGCTCAACTACTCTGCAGGAAAGTTTTTGACTGGCCAACCCACGGTCAGCGGCCTTCCCCGGGCTTCTTGCAGAAGCCAACCGACTCCGTCGGGTTGCGACCTCGAGACCTGGAATACCTCGACGAGATTTTGCCTCCGGAGGGACAGATGCTCGCTCTGCTGGCTTCTGCTCAACGCTACTCACATTGATGAGGAGCCTTCCGATCCGTTCCAAGGAACCACCCTAACACGTCTCAGCTCATTAGATACGACGGTTTGACCAGCGAGGGAAAAGGTGCTCACTGTTCTGTGGAGTGGCTGTTAGACGGCCTACTTCGACGCTGGCTCAGCAGCATCTGAAGGACGCATCATGACAGTGGCTGCCGACCTCTACAATCACCGTACGAAACCTTGAAATTGCTGGAGGGTCTCACGTTCATTGATCTGAAAGGTGAAGTCGATGTCAGTTGTCGGAGCGGCGATCAAAAGTCACGAAATACGCAATTCTTATTTACGTGTGGGGTGGGTCTCAAGCTCTCATCTTTAACCAGAAGACTCTTGCCGAGTTATCCTCCAAAGGCTCCCCACGGCTTGATAGGACGGGCCTGTCAAAGATCGTCCGCGACGCTGTGATTCTTGCCGCATCCTTGGGCATCAGGTACATCTGGGTCAACACCCTGTGCATCATTCAAAATGACATGGACGGCATATATGGGAACTCGGTTGTGGAAATTCGTGCCGCGGCCGGTAGTGGCTCCTCTGACGGGATACCGGAGCCGCCCAGCAGTCAGCGAGCCGCCTGGAAGCCAAGGGTCGTGTGCGTAGGGATCGAGCTCGTGGCGACCAAGATCGTCAGGGGCTCGTCGAAAACACGGTCCGGAGCAGCAGGGCCCAGATCCTCCAGGGCGACCGGTTACCGGCATTTGAGGGCACGTCGGCTGTACTCCCCCCCCCCCCCCCCCCCCCCCCGCTGCGAGCCTCCCTGTTTTACGGACTGTCCGACTCTTATTTCGACCTTGCGCTTCTTTGGCCGAAGAAGGTATCCGGGCCGAGGGTCGAAGACGGGAGCGGCTGACGCGGCGCTTCGATTTGGCGCCTTCCCATGATTTCCGGCACGTTGCAACCTTCACGAGTGGCTCGAGTGCCACACATGGGCCGTATGGTACAAGATGGACCCAGCCAACATGACGTTTCTACCCGTGCGGTCCTCCGGTGAAATCCACACCAACAGAATCGGTGGCACATGTACTACGCCCTGCTCATCGTCTGGCTGTCGTCCAGAGGGTCGGGCTGGCCGATACCTACCGCCGCACCTTTGACCTGGCGCCCTTTGAGCCGGACAAGACGTGGAAGGAGGTCACGCTGGATCAAGGGACAGCCTGCGTGTATTACGGTGAATATCGGAATCATGTCTCTGCTACACTCCCCTCCACTTTGACAGGGCCACGAGAACCAATCTGACCGCCACCGAATGACGACCGGCGTCCCATGCATCGATTGGAGGGTATATATATATATATTTATGTACTGCCAGGAGATGATTCGGAGCTGCCGGGTTTCCCGCATGCCCATTTTCTTCGCTTCCAATTTCAACCAGGTCAAAGCCCCTATAGATGGTTTGGTTCATTTACAACATGATACCACACGGCGGCCTTGTGTCGTCTCACACACAAACTGTCAAAGGATGCAAAACACAGCAGGTAAGGTTAAATAAATATAGTGTTACCATTTGTATTGATGGTATCGAGGTCAATGACCAAAGCACTGTAGAACGCGCAGGAAAAAAAGATAGCAAAAGCAACTAGCGGTATGTCCACTCGTCGTCAAGGCCCCGAGGCCAAGTAATCATGATCTAAGACACCTAGAGACATCATCAACTCTTTGATGTGTCGAAACGCCATCACCCGTATGTATATGTCATGCTCGTTGTGTTGTAATAACAACCCCTCTAAACCCATAAAACATCATACGACTCCTCACGATGCCGCGCTCGTAGTGCAAGTGTATGTTCTGTACGTCCATGTGCGTGACCCCCGCTGTAGTAATTCAATGCATAAACAATTGCCTTTCCGAGCCAACATCTATTGGCTCCTGGAGTCTTCCGCCGCCTGACGCGCACGCATGTTGCTTTCCCACGTGTCCCAGTCCTCAAAATCGGACACTTGCTGCCTGGCAGGTCGTGGGGTGGGTCGGGAAGGCGAGCCCAACAGGTCACCGAACTCAAGCTGGCAGCTCGATTCGAGCACCATGTTGGTGATGTCAAAGTTTGAACCAGGGGCGTCCATGGACTCCGCCAAAGCTCGGTTCATTGCCTCCAACATGTCGGAGTCGTATTGGTGATCAAGAGACTGCGTCTGAAGGTATTCCTCCAAGGCAAGCTCCATTTGGGTAAACTCATCATTATGCAGACGAGGACTCCTCCGAAGCAGACCCTTGGCAGATCGGGGTGTTCGCGTCGGCGTGCGGCGCACAGCCGCGGGAGACCGAAGCAGGTCGCCTGATCTCATAGAACGCGAGACGCTTCTAGTGACACTTCTAGTGATGGGTCGGTGACTCGGCGTCGGCCGGGTAGGGGTTTTGAAGGGGCCGTTGTTAGGGGCCCGTTCTTTGGGGGGTGGCGTCGACGGACGAATCAGAGGACTTCTGAAAAGGTCCTCAAGGTCATCTTCGGGAGCAGCGAGGTTCTCCTTGTTCATGCCAGACACTTTGGAAGCTGCGGCGTCCTTGCCAGGTCCTTTGATGGGAACTTCCCTGTTTTGGATGACTTGTGCTGACCTGCTGGAGTCGGGCGCTGTTTGCATGATATTGACGGCAAGATCGCTCAGTGCCTTCGAAACGCCATCCTTTCGTGGCGAAGGGAACAGGAGTCGCCGAGTTGCGCCCATATCTTCGACATCAGCGTTATCAATGGTGATCGGGCTCTTCGCTGTGCCACTGCCCCTGGAATGCGTAGAGCCAGGGTTGGAGATGTTCCCAGGGGATGTCGGTCGCGAGCCTTGGTATTCTGGGGGCTGGGATGCGGAAAACTGGGACATTGATCGCTGAGAGGCATCGTTGGCATTGCTGACTTGAGAAACACCGCGCGACCTGCTCTCGTCCATCGGTGAGACCCCACGGTCATCAGGTCCAATGGGGTCTGTTGTATTGTATGCTTCGGACGTCGGGTTGAGCGGGTTCGCCGAACCAGACTTCTTCGCTCTGGGCGGACGGGGAGCACGACCAGTGCCCCGAGGGCGCCTCTGTTGGCCAAGACGAGCGCTATCCTTCTCCCACTTCTCCTGAGGTCGATGGGCTTTCCATTTGGATAGCCAGATACCGCAGGGATTGCAGAGCATGTGCTCCTTCCAGTCGGACTTATCCTCTTTGGGCAAAAGGGCCTTCTTGATGATCTGATACTTGGTCGGCTTTTCATCGGCATCACGGTCCAAGACCAAGATAGCGGTAATTCTGCCAGGCTTGTCCGAGAACTCGGTAAATTCCGGAACGCCCTCATGCTCCTGGGTCCAAATCTTGCGCCACGTAGGAGTCTCGATCGCACCGCAGTTGCTGCAGTACATGGGAGTCTGTCCACTCGCGATCGCCTGCAGGAGCTTCTCTCTGATGGCCTGCTTTTTAACATAGTTCTTGTTCGACCTCGTAGGCTGCGGCGGTGACCTTGGGGGCTGCAAGGCGTCACTTGGCGGGCAGGGTGCCTCGGAGAAGGAGGTGATATCCGGGGGGGCGGGAGCTGGCAACGCAATGGGACCGATGGGGTCGCTAGCAGCCACCGAGGGAAGAGCCAATGAGAAGCCTGAGGACGTAGACCTTGACAGAGAAGGTGGTGCTGATGGCCGGGCGAACGTCGCGGTAGCATCCGGAGCCATCTGGGGCTCTGGCAAAGCTGATTCTGACGCCATGCCTTGCACCGCCTGGGCGAGTTTCTCAAGTCCCAATTCCAGACCGTCATCTGGCTGTTGAGTCTCGATTTTGGGAGCGCTTTGACCGTCGATATCGACCTCAGGCTTAACCGCCACAACCAGCTCCTCTTGTTGTGGCGAAGGCTCTTTTTCCGCAGGCTGTGAAGGCGAAGGTAGCGCAAGCCTCGAGTCGCTTACGGTCCTCGACATGGGAGGCAAAGAAGGCTCCAATGATAGTGTCGAGGTAGGCGGCCGGGGTGCACTCTGCTGCCTGTTGCTCCTGGTGGCGGCATCTGCCTCAGCGGAAGGCTGCGCCGCCAGCTGGAAGACCTGGATCGGAATGCCTGACCGAGATCTCCGTTCCTTGGTGACGTTGGAGTTTGATCTCCGCACTGGTGGCACGACCGCCTTCGGAAGTTGTTGCTTGACCCCCTCACCGTCGAAAAGGTCATCCATGCCTCCACTCATAAAACCCGAGTCTGGCTGAGGCATTGGCATGGGAGGAAGTATTGGGCTCGACGCCGGCGGGCTGGATCGCACAAAGCTCGTGTTACGAGGAACGGGTGGTGATGACCCGATGGCTGCAGGGCTGTCCTCGGAGTACATGGGTGATACGGCTTCCGAGTCGGGAGAGCGGCCGTCTTGCTGGCTCGGGGACAAAGCGAATGGCGGCTCGGAGAATTGCGGCTGGCTGGGAGGCGTCGCAGCCTGGCTCAAATTCGACTGCCGACGTAGCTTGCTTCCGTTAGTCGGCTTGCCAGCCTGGGGCATCATGGGACCTCTGTCTGGCACTGGTGTTGGAGCCCTGGGAACATCCTGCATGTGCGAGCCCATGGGTGCCTCGACGGGCATGCCCATCGGCCGCAAGGTTCGCAACGAGCCAGCGGTGCTGGCCGTGACTCGCAGAGACTCGGGGCCGCCGCCAAATGGGGCGTTGATGTTGCTCGTGACTTGGGTCATGGTAGCCCTCTTCTTCTTGGCGGGGCCCTCATCACCATCAGTTCCGTCCTCGTAGCCCGAGGTGTTGCCCTGGCTCTCAGCCCTTGGCTGCTTTCTAGGACGACCACGCGGTCGTCCCGTAGCTCTCGACTTCCTCGACGATGGGTTTGAGGCCCTGGATGATGGCCTTGATGGTGGGTTGACCTGGGTCTCGGTTGCTGTGTCAACAGGGGTCGGGGCCACCCTATTAGGGCCATCAGAATTTTGCGTCGGCTGATGAGGCTGAGGCAGAATTTGCTGGTGCTGGTGCTGTGGCGGCGCGCCGTAGGAAAATGAATTGCTGCGTTGGAAGTGTTGTTGTTGCTGCTGCTGCTGTTGTTGCTGGAAGTCGAGGTGCATGGATGGTTGGTGTGGCGACGGGACGCTTTGCGGGTGGTGCTGGCTACCCATCTGGGGGTTCGACTGCATGAAGGAGTTCCACTCGGCATGGCTCGACGGCGTAAGGGCCCCGTCAGCAGGTCTTGTGGGTTGTACCTCGACGCTCATATGGCTCTCGGAGCGCTGGTAGGAGTGTCGAAGGTCCGGTCGTGATTCGGATTCGTACTGGGGTTGCACCATGGCGGCCACGGGCTTCAACTTCAACTTGATCTCGAGGATTTCCTTGACGCCGTTGCTAAAGGCGGAGAGGGGATTCCTGGTGGCGCGGCCAATGATCTGCTTTCCATCGGCGTTGTTGACGATCCAACCAAGGAAACCCTGGCCGACCAAGGGCTCGTCGGGCTCTGAGTAGTCGTAGGCGTAGACGGCGAAGTCGCGGGTGACGTCGCTGAGAAGTTCGGGGCTGCACTTGACAACAGCCTGGACACACATCTTGAGGTCGACCATGCCGACGGTGAGCTTGTCGTCGATGGGTACTGTTCGGACGGTGAGCAGCTCGGGGTGTCGCGCCAGGAAACTCTCGCCGCTATCGGCAAACGCGTAGGTGACCTTGACTGGGTCTCCCAGTCAGCACATCCAGCCAGGGCCGGGACGGGAAGAAACAAGAAGCACTCACGGCCCATCGTCTTGGTCAGAACACCCATATCGTCACTCTCTGTTGAGCCGACAGGCGGTGGAGGAGGAGGCCTGGCTTGGGGGTTACTTCCCCAGTTACCCATGGGCGCTGAAGGCATTGGCGACGCCATGGTAGGCGAGGCTCTAACTCCAATTCGCGTGCTTATCCAGCTCGACGGGGTATAGGAGGTGGACAAAGTAAAAGGCAAAGACGAAAATGAGAAATGGAAAAGCCGACAATAATGTCGAAAGCCGGCAGGGTTGAAGGGCGGTGACCAAGGGTAGAAGAAAGGAAAGAAGAATAGTGGAGGATGAGAATTGGGAGTGGGTTGACAACTGGTGTTTGTAGTGGTTAAAGTGGTAAAGTGCAGGCGTCACGTAAGAAACCGCGGGGGGCGGGTATCATGGCCGTGGTCGTGAAGGAGTCGCGTCCAAGTGGTGTAAGTCGCGTTTTTGGGAAGTGGATCAAATCACTTAATGCCCCTGCGCGACCAGACTAGAGCACAGCACGGCTCCGAGACAGGTTTGCAAGCTCACGCTGAAGGCTAATTACCTTGAACGAGGTTAAAAAGAAGGAGAAAGAAAAAAGACCGGAACAATTGATGAATCATATACTCAGCCGAGAGCCCCAAATCCTCGTTGTGAAGTGGTGCAGTTGAAGATAAATCGCGGCCAGACGATGAGAGATAACACGATTGGGAAAGACGTGAGATGTGTCGCGTAGAGTGGAGATACCGCACCACAGTGCAGTGCAGTCAGTGGGTAATACGCAACACAAAAGGTCACAATACAGACAGACTGCTGCAAGTGCCCGGTTTAGGCGTGGGGGGGGCCGTGACGTTGGGCCAGGGGTAATTACCAAGTCGCCTAGGTAGCGCTGCTTCTTGGCGCGAAGTGCAGCTGCGGTCAAAGTCCAGAACGCGCCAAAACACGTAAGCACGTTTTCGTCCGCGACTTGGGTGCGTGGAGTGGAGTGGATGGATTGGGTGGCCTTAATCTTCTCTTTCGGATGGTCCGTGCACGACGGAAGGGGGACGGTTGCTGAGTGAATGCCGGAAGTGGGTCCCACCCCCTCGCTTCTCGGATGCGGGTGGGTTTGACCAGCCGATTTCCCCTTCTTTTCTTCGACGGACTCTGTGCTTGCGATCGGGGCCTGACACCGGCGACTCAGGACCAGGGCGGACCAAGCGCCGGAACTAGCAAAAGATGAAGGGGGGGAAGCAGGGGAAATGAGCTGGTCTCGCTTCCCTGACCGAAGGCGGCGGGGGGCCGGGTCCCTCTTTATACTTGCCCACTCGCTGAAGCCTGTGTGGTCCCTCTTTTTCCGTCTTTCGCCTGCGTTGTCCATACAATCTCACTGACCAGATCGATTCCCTTCTGTCGTTGCCTGCCCATCTTCTAGTTCCCCCTCCAACTCTCGACCCATCCCATTTCATTCACCAAGTTTTACTTTTTTTTTTTTTTTTGCTCGCGTAAGTACGAAGTACAAGTGACTCAATCCCCACCCATCTTTTCATCCGGTAGCCAACGGTCGGTGACCCAAGGCGACCGAAGCCATCTGAGCTCATTCACTGCAGACATCCTGGCACATTCTTGGCCATGATGAGCTTTGATGACGGAACCAAGCTGGTCGACGCTTGATCAGGCCCTAAGTCCGAAATCCTTTTTTCAACCGCCCCAAAACCGTACCTACCTAGGCAGCAAGATCTTATCAGCATGCCGGCCTATTTGAGATGAAGCCATCATTACCCCAATTTCTTCACCAACTCCGAAAAATAACGAAGGGGGTTTTTTTTTTCAATCCACTTCTCGCAATAGCAACCCGAACTAGCTTATTGAGCCAATCAAGTGCAACCGCCATGGTGTTGAGCATTATCAAAGCCATGTTTTGATGCATTTCAATTCACGCGTCGCGATCCGTCATTTCATCACCCAATATGATGTGCGCCGAAGCAGATGAATCAGTTTCCAACATGAGATAGTCCACCTTTGATTTTATTCAGACACATGGCAAAGCATCTACATTATTATACACACCTCATGCTCAAGAACATCTCGGTGACGCCTCGAAATGGCCCTCTTATGATTCACGCCAGCCGGCACGCCCACCTTCATCTTCTCTGACATAAACCTTGCGGTCGACGATATCCTTGACCACCTTCTTGACACCCTGCCGGTTGTTTTGCGCCTCCACAACCTTCTTCACAACCTCTTGGGGGGTGTACTGTCCCGGAAGGACAATGTCACGGACAAACTTCTCAGTCGGCAGTGCAAAGTGGGAGTAAGGGTACTCCTTGAAATTACGGTTGTTCAGCAGCTGAAGCGGCTCGCCAGAGGTCTTGAAAAAGGCATCTGTGACCTTCATCTCAGGCTTGATGTCCTCCAACGTTGCCGGCTGCCACTTGGGCTTCTTCTTGTTCACCAGTAGTGCTGTTACGCCTTCGGTAAAGTCGGGGTGCTGCATAAACTTTTTCGCAATCTGGTGCTCGCGTTGGAAAGTCTCGGCGATCGACCAACTGCGGCCGATGCGCATTTGTCTCAGCGCAACGTTGACGGCCGTCGGCGACCGCTTGTGCAGCGTGTGCAAGGTCTTTTCGGCCCACTCCTTGGTAGCGGCCTCCTCGCGGTCGCGCTCGCGCTCGAGAGCCTCGACGATGTCGGCAATGTTACCCTTGCTGAAGCAACGGTCGATAGCATTGCGCAGATCGCCGCTCAGTTGAATTGGCTCGTCGTGCGGGAGACCAGTGACGTACTCCTCGAGGGTCTGGTTGATGATTTGGAGGCGCTTCTCCAGAGAGTCGTAGTCGCGGAATCGGATCTCGGCGAGACGAGACTCCAGCTGCGGCAGGGAGGTCGAGTGGAGGTAGTGGGTGGCGACGCCGGAGTAGAAGACGTTGGCACCCTTGAGTCTCTCGCTCGTCAGGGCGAGGTAAGTGCCAACGGATCCGGCCATTCTGGGCAGGAAGAACGAAGCGCCGACGTCGGGGAAGAACCCAATCGTTGTCTCGGGCATGGCGAAGACGGTGCGCTCAGTGGCAATACGAAACGGGGCGTGGATGCTCAATCCAACACCGCCACCCATCGTGATGCCGTCCATGAAGGCAATGTACGGCTTGCCGTACGTCGCAATGTAGTGGTCCAGCTGGTACTCAAGCGCAAAGTAGTCGGCGCTCTTCTTCCACCCATCCGTGCGCTGTTGGTTATACTGGGCAAGCTGAACAACGTCTCCACCAGCGCAGAAAGCCTTTTCGCCGGCTCCCTTCATGACCACCACGTTCGCCAAATCCGACTTCTCCCACTCCACCAGTCTAGGCAGAATCTTGCGAATCATACTCCCGTTCAGAGAGTTGAGCTTCTTCGGGCGGTTGAGCTGAATGGTCCGCAGACCGTAAAGGCTGTCGAAGAGGACATCGTCTGGCTCGTCCCCGGGGCGCTCCTTAAACTGCTCCGGAACCTTCGTCGACATCTGGTAGTGTGCATGTCAGTCAAATTATGTCGCTGATGCCCTTTAGAACGTCCGCCGACTCACCTGTGAGCGTGATGAAGCCTCCGCGGCAATGATCTTGGCTCTGAGAGGCATGCCGAAGCTCCTGCTGCAGTTCCGGCAAGGAGCAGCTAGCGATGCCGGCCCGGCTCGTAGTGCAATCGTCCTCGAGAACATTTGTTTCGCCAGCTGCCAATGCGCTCGTCTAGGACAAGCGGCGCATCGACTGAGATATAGCGGGCTCGTGAAAGAGAGGAAGAGGGGAGGGAAGGAGGGGGACGAAGGATTCGGGGGAGGTTCGGTTGGTTGTTCAGGATTGGGGTCGCGGGAATGATTTTCCAGAGCTCCTCACAGACGTCAAAATTGAGGCCGAGTACATCCACGGGTCTCTTACCTCAGGCAATTGGACGGATCCAGCGGTCGGGCTAGTGCACTGGCCAAGCGGCACGCAGCCAAAACTCCGCTGAAGCAACAGCAAGCTGCAAGCTCTCCAGTGCAGGTCCGCCTGCAGTTCCGAACGGGGACATTTTTTCCAGCGCCGGCTTCACTGGAGCGGCCGACCAATCAGAGCGCCATACCGCCTGAGCCGCGAGACCGCCAAACTCTTTCAGCCTTGCTGTAGCCTACCTACCTAGATCGTAAAGCAACTTATCGCGACATACATCACCCAACCCCTCAACCCATCCTCCCCCACCCGAAATAGCCCATCATGTCGACCGATCCCAAGATCCAGTACGTGTATACCGAGTCGTATATACCTTGGGTTATCAGCGTTGCTAACAAACCATCTTCAGGGAGCTCCTCACCAAGTCCCGCAACGAGCTCACCGAGTACGAGATCGCACAGCTTGAGGAGCACGAGTTCAGCGCCGGACCTCTCTCTATCCTCCAGACCGCCGTGCGCAGCCATACCCAGGTCCTCATCTCCATCCGTAACAACCGCAAGCTTCTTGCCCGCGTCAAGGCCTTCGACAGGCATTGCAACATGGTCCTCGAGAACGTAAAGGTGCGACGAACCACGCCACCCCTCCAGCCCATCGAGACCCCAAGCAAGGATACAGTGCTAACACTTGGGACCGCAGGAGATGTGGACAGAGACGCCGCGCCTGGCCAACGGCAAGAAGGGCCGTCCCGTCAACAAGGACCGCTTCATCAGCAAAATGTTGGTTGGCAACACCCCTTATACAGCTCACTCGACGCGTCGCATCCGACTTGTCGGATTCCTTAGCCGATCGCTAATATACGTCTAGGTTCCTCCGCGGTGACAGCGTCATTCTGGTTCTCTTGAGCTGAAGGAATGTAACGGATACGAACGGGAGGGAGTTGGGAGCGCTAGTCTTGGTACGGCCCGCCGCAATGTCATCGACGAAAGCGTCCAAAATACGACACGTTATGTCTGGAAAGGAGCGAAAACACAGCGTTTATGCAACCGACCGTGCCAGAAGGAATCTCGAGCGCGAGGAAACGAAATGTCGGCGGGTGCTATCGTAGAAGGGGCAAAAGTCGCCTGACGGAAAGCAGCGTACAAACCCAAACGGGGAGGAAAGACTGCACGACAAAAGAATACCCACGGTAGAGTGGTTTCTGTTTCACAAAAAAAAAACGGGACGAGATAGGCGTTGAAGACAATCTGGATTCATTTGGTTTTTTTTCTTCTTCCCTTCTTTTCTTCACTTTCGCTTTCTCGCGATTCGGCATCCTACCAGCCTGCCTTCGTACATGTGCGAACTAACCCGCCTTCCTCCGAGACGCTCTCCGAAAACCCAAGGAAGTACAACGAAAATGCAAGGATATTCTACAGGGAAACTACGAACTGAAGATCAAACCTAGAACCTCACGTCTCTCAAAGCTTCTCCCAGCCGTCCTCGCCCTCGATGCCCGCCAGCCCGGCGAAGAAGCAGCTCAGGCCCCAGGCGCCAGGGTCGGGCACCTGCTCGAAGCCCGAGCCGCCGACGTACACCGTCCGGCCCAGGCTGGCCTTCATGCCCTTTGTCTTCTCGGCGCCGGCGCGCGCCGCCTCGGCGGCCTTCTTGACGTCGGCCGTCTGCCCGAGCACGTCGACGAAGGGGTGCAGCGCGTCGACGAGGGTACGGTCGCCCGGGCGCGCGGGGGTGTATCGCGCCATGGCCTCGCTGCTTTGCTTCAGGGCTGCGGCCCAGACCTTGGGGTCGGCAGCGCCCGGGGCGAGGCCGCGGAGGGCGCCGGTGAGGGCGTTGAGGAAGATTGCGTAGAGGGCGCCCGAGGTGCCGTCCATGGTGCTCTCGACCACGGGGACTGCGGAGGCGAGGTCAACGACGGCGTCGCCGGTCAGCGGCTTCTCGGAGATGTGCTTGAGGATGGCTGGGGACCGTCGCGTTAGCGTGCTGAGGTAAGACGTGTACTTGTGGGGATGAGAGAGAGAGACAGAGAATGGATGTCTTACCTTCGGCTCCTCTCTTCAGACCGATACCGCAGTCGCCGTCACCGACGACAGTGTCATACTTGGTGATGTCGGGCTCGGCGGCAATGACTCTTTGGAGGGCGGCCGTGATGGACTTGGTGGCGGCGGCGGCATCGTACTTGAGGTCGCTGGGCTTCGTCGCCTGGCTGGTGTCCGCCTCCTCCTCCCTGGTAGCCTCGTTCTTGGCCTCCCAGGTCTCCTTAAGGACGGGGGAGGACCAACCCGTGGCCTCGGTGGGGTAGTCCAGGAGCTGAATCATGCTGGGCCCGCCGATGTCCGTGTTGACGATGTTGAGCAGCGAAATGCTGAATCCCAGGCCGTTGAGACTGGTCATGTAGGTCCCGCTCAAGATGCGGACGGGATGGATGCCGTAGCTGCCCTCCAACTGCAAAGCGACCTCTGCCGTGATGCCGCCCAGTTCCAGGGCGCTGACGCCGCCGAGGTTGTTGACCAGGAGCACGACCTCGTTAGAGTTGACATTGAGGAACGCGCGGTCTTTGTCGCCCTGGTCCAGCAGCTGCGCGAGCATCTTGCCCACCAGCACCGGCAGATCCGCCTGCTCCCGGCCGGAGCCGGG